GGCCAAACCGGTTAGGGCTTAGCATTTCTTTTAATGCTGGCTTGGTGGTGATGAACTCCTTTAGCCTTTTTTTTTTGTCTGGGAAGCTTTTTTTTTTTTACTATTTTGAATGACAGCCTTGCTGGATAGAGTAATCTTGGTCTCAGATCCTTGCTTTCTGTTACTTTGGGTACTTCATGCCATTCCCTTCTGGCCTATAGAGTTTCTGATGAGTAATTGGGTGTCAGCCTATGGGAACTCCTTTGTAGGTAACAGTTTTGTTTTTCTCTTGCTGCCTTTAAGATTCTCTCTTTATCTTTAATTTTTGGCATTTTAATTATGATGTAACTTTTTGAGTTATTCTTATTTGGGACTCTCTGTGCCTCCTGAACTTGTGTGACTTTTTCCTTTACCAGGTTAGAAAAGTTTTCTGACATTATTTCTTCAAACACCTTCTCTATCCCTTAAGCAGAGGAGGGACAAGAGAGCAGCCGGGAAGCCCAGCCGCCATGCACCGAAAGGTCACCGGTTCGATTCCATCAGGGCACACGCCCTGGGCTGTGGGCTCGATCCCCAGTGGGGGGCATGCAGGAGGCAGCCCGTTGATGTTTCTCTCTCATCGTTGATGTTTCTCTCTCTCTCTCCCTCCCCTTCCTCTCTTTCTAAAATCAACAAAAACACTGGGGATGGAGCCTGCAACCCGGGCATGTGCCTGACCAGAATCAAACCTGGGACCATTCAGTCCTCAGACCGATGCTCTATCCACTGAGCCAAACCAGCTGGGGCAATAAAAATATATTTAAAAAAAGAGGAGCCAGGGAAGAAGCGGTGTCCCTTGGGATAAGAGGTCAGGGAGAGGGACGGGGTGCAGTAGGGAGAGCTCGGGACTGGATTTCACGGACCTGGTAAATACATGGGTCTGGAGGCCCCAGGGTCTGAGATAAATTTCTTATCTCCATTTCATTTCTCTCTTCTTTTGGAAACTTCTCTTGTTCTTTCATTTGGGGTTTTTTTCTTTGTCTCTTCATTTTGGCTACCTGTTTGGGTTTATGACTCTGTATTAGGTAGATCTGCTACGCCTCTCAATCTCTAGTGCAGGATGGTGTCAAGCTGTTTCTGACTAATTATCTTAGGCAAAGACTCGAAGTCTCCAGAGACCGCCTCTGTCTACAGACTGATAGGATTCGGTCTTGAATTGCCCTCAGGCAATCGTCCACAGGTGTGGCAAGAGTTTTTTTCTATAGGATGGTCACGCCGAGCTCAAAAGGTTCGCCATCACTGGTCTGGAGCGTGGAGCACAGAACATGACCTTCCCACTGTTGCCACAAGGGGGCGAAGGATGGCCAAAGGCTCCAGGGCGAAGGTGGCCTTTGGCCGCACTCACGGGTCTTAGCGTCCGCAGAGAGTGGGCCGTGCCTTTTCGCATCCTGCACTCCAAAGAGTAGGAATTTGTACTTGCGGGCAGGGGCCAGGCCGGAGATGGTGACCTCCCGGAGGTCGCCGCCCACGGGCACTGCCTGGGGCTGCCCCTGCTCGTCCCTGTACTGGACCAGGAAGGAGTCGAAAGGGCCCTGGGCCACCGTCCAGGACAGGTGCACCGAGTCTGAGGTCACGGCGGCCACAGCCAGCTCCTCCAGGCGGGGTGCCACCAGGGGCTCCGAGGGCAGGGCGGCTGGAACAGAGCAGAAGAGGCTCAGGGTTCAACGGCCTGAGAGAGGGGTCCTTTCTGCCTACGAAACAAACATGGGAGCAAACTGCTCTCAGGTGAGCACGGGGCCCAGGACAGGGGCAGGTGCCGCTACCCCGGCAGCCCCACTGTGCGGAGGGCTGCAGAGGGAGCAGTCAGCGTGATAAAGGGCCCGTGCCTTCAGAGCAGGAGCAGGACCCAGGCGCAGGCACGGACGGCCTGACTCCACCCACCGGGGAGCCACCACACGGCCCAGCCAGGAGCCTGGGGAGGCCGCACAGCAACACAGCAGCAGCCAGAGGCTCCCATCCAGGGGAAGGAAAGAAGCTACTGGATGAGGCCGGGGTCCAGGACACTGACCGACTGACCACAGTCTCCACCATCCTCACACATTCGAGGAAGGAGAGGGCCCGGCCCTGTGTGAGGAGTGCGGGCCACTGAGAGGAGCTGAGCGAACTGCGTCCCGCCCCACTCACCGGTCAGGCCCGGGTGGACGCACCTGTCACCCCGGTGGCAGAGGCGGGGCCCTGGCGCTGGCCGTCGTGGAAGCCATACAGGTGCATCTTGTACTTGTGGTCCGGCTCCAGGCCCGAGATGGTGACCCCGTCCTCGTGTCCCGGCACCCGGACCGCCTTGGGCTGCCCGTCCCCGTTCTTGTACTGGACCAGGAAGTGGTCAAACTGGCCCTGGGGGACGGTCCAGGAGAGGCTCAGCGAGTCCGGGGAGGATCCCGTCACGGTCAGCTCCCCCAGCAGGGGCTTCACGCGGGGCTCAGGGGTCGTGGTGGGTGGGACTTGGGTGGTCACAGCTTCGTAGTCGGGAGCTGGACGACCTGGACAGAAACATGGGGGACAGGTGAGGTCTCCTCAGCCCTCAGCGCAGCACATACAGGGTCCATTGCAAACATAAGGCAATAAGGACCAGAATCTGCCGCCCACAGCGGCTCTAACTCCAATTCTTTCTGGTCCCTCTAATGTCTCCTTCAACCCCTCACAGTCAGCCTTCCTCCCCCGTCTCCCCACCAGCCACCAGCAAACCTGCGACCCCCTCCTCCAGCACCTGCCTCCCCCACCCCACCAGCGCCCCTGCGACTCCCCCTCACACAGGCTCTGCTCTCCTCTGAACACAGGCCCCGAGGTCCCTGTGCCCTGGGCTCCCTCCACAGGGCCTGGGTGGCATCTCACTCCCTTTGGCTCAGGACTTTGCTCCCAAACAGCTCAGACCAGACCAGAAACCTGCAGTCTTCCTGGCCCTGCTCCCTCCTCAGTCCTCAGCTGCCCCCGGGCCTCACTCTCTCTGAACTTCTCTCCCATCTCCCCGCCCCACACACCTGCAGCCTGGGCCACCCCCACCTCTCACCTGTGCTCCCCGCTCCCTCCTGCTGTCCCTGCCTCCCTCCCATCCCTCTGCGCAGCGTCCAGATGGGACCAGAAACGCACGGTGATGGAGTCGGTCTTACTTAAAGCTGCACAACCCTGTGCGCCCGGAGGAGCCCTGCTGCCTGAGCTGCCACCTCTGCACCCCTTCTCGGGACTGTCCCTCACTCAGAGCACTTCATCCAAACCCTCTCGGGTGCCCCGTGCTCCCAGTTCCCAGGCCTTTGCACCAGTTGTGGCATCGTGGATGTGACACCCTCTCCGTCCTATCGTGCTGTCACCATGCCGACACCTGCCTGACCGCAGGCCTCAGCTGTCCTGGGGGGGCCGTGGACAGGCTCCTAGGCCTCACAGCCCAGGCCTGGCCTGACCCAGGGCTTCCTGTCGTATCCACCCCCCTTTGCCTGTTTTGTCGGTTCACAGCCTGTCTTCCCACGACCCGGAGCCCCATTAGGATAAGACCTTGTCTCTCTGCCAAGTTCAAGGTCGACCCGTGAACTCCCGCGGCTGGGCTCAGGGCGCCCCATCTGGCTGACCCACTGCAGTCCTAAGTCTGGTGATGTCTGAACCGTGAGGTTGGGGCGCTGGCAAGACGCTGCTCTCTGAGCACCTCCCAGCCTGTCAGGGCTCCAGTTGCCCCCGAGGTCCAGAGGGTGGGAAGGACCAGGGATGCGGGTAGGACTCCCTCCCACAAGTTCTAAGGGAGTGTCCGATCCCTTGGCTGTGAGGTGTGGCCAAGGGCCCTGTGGGGGAAGTGACTCTCCAGCCCCAGCCCCCCTGCCCCAGCACCGCCCTCTACCAGACCCCAGGCCAGTAGTGGAGCCTGCGGGGCAGGGTGGGGGGGTACACCGGTGTTTCTACGAAGATGGTAACAAAGGAAGAGTCTTCCAGGGCTCTCCTCCCTGCCCTGCGGCACTCACCGGTTCACCGGTCAGGCCCAGGGTGGACGCAGGGCCCACGCGCCGCCCCCCGTGCAGGCCGTACAGGTGCATCTTGTACTTGCGCCCCGGCTCCAGGCCCCGCACGGTGACCTCGCTCTCCTCACCCCCGACACGCACCACCTGGGGCCGCCCGTCCCTGTCCTTGTACTGGACGGTGAAGGCGTCGAAGTGGCCCCGGGGGACGGTCCAGGACAGGCTCAGCGAGTCCGGGGAGGATCCCGTCACTGTCAGCTCCCCCAGCAGGGGCTCCTCGGGGGGCTCGGGGGCCTCCGTGCTGGGTTCTGCGGGGCTGGGGGTCTCCTCCTCTGCAGCTGAGAAGCACAGACACAGGGCGGGTGAGGCAGGCTCCATGGAGATGTCCGGGTCTCCTCCCGAGCCCTGGTCATGCCGGGCCCTGGTCACTCCAGGGAGCCCCTCGGGGCAGCCTCACTGACATGCCCAGAGCCTCGGGGTCGGCTGTGGCCGCAGCCCCCGCACAGCCCAGGGGCCCTTCTCTGCCCAGGGCCCCGCTGGTGCTCAGGGAGCCCAGGGGAGGCACAGAGGGCACCACGGCTCAGCCTGGAGCAGAGGGGCCCCTGCACCCCCTCAGCCATCACGAGTGTCATCTCCCGCAGGTCCCACCGGGGCTCCCACCACCCACTCACCTGTCACCCCGGTGGCAGAGGCGGGGCCCTGGCGCTGGCCGTCGTGGAAGCCATACAGGTGCATCTTGTACTTGTGGTCCGGCTCCAGGCCCGAGATGGTGACCCCGTCCTCGTGTCCCGGCACCCGGACCGCCTTGGGCTGCCCGTCCCCGTTCTTGTACTGGACCAGGAAGTGGTCAAACTGGCCCTGGGGGACGGTCCAGGAGAGGCTCAGCGAGTCCGGGGAGGATCCCGTCACGGTCAGCTCCCCCAGCAGGGGCTTCTCGGGAGGCTCAGGGGTCGTGGTAGGAGGTTCTGACGGTTCCTCCTCCTCTTCCCTTGGGGCTGAAGAGACCGGGAGAGAAGCACCTGAGAGAGGGCGGGTCCCGGGCCCCTGCTCTCCTGGGGGCTCTCCTGCTGTGTGCAGGACGCAGGGTTGGCCGCTCCTCTCGCTCACCTGTCAGGGCCTTGACCTGGATGGGACCCAGACGCTGGGGGCCCCGGACAGCGTACACGTTCACCAGGTAGCTGTGGTTGGGTTCCAGGCCCGAGAGGGTGATGTCATTCTGGTTGCCCCCTAAACTGACAACTTGGAGTTGCCCATCCTGGTCTGTGTATTGGACCTCGAAAGAGTCCGGTTCCCCCTCCGTGACCGTCCAGGACAGGTGCAGGGTGTGCGGGGTGGCCTCGGCCACGGTCAGCTCCCCGAGCTGGAGCTCTGACTCTGGAGGGCTTGGGGCTGTGGTCTCAGCTCCGTTGTCCTCCCTGGGGGCTGGTTCAGAGACACAGATAGAGGCGGGTGATGGGTCTGTCGCCGCCCCAGGTCCAAGGGGAGGGCAGGGGTGGAGGTAAGTGGTGACCAAGAGGGCCTACTATTGCTACGCGCAGTGAGGCATTTCAAATGCATGATGCTAAATGCAAGAAGCTAAACACAAAAGACTGTGTCGTGGGATCCTGCAAATGAAATCTCCAAAAGGCATAATGTGGCCGCAGCCGTGGGGCCCGAGGCTGGGCTAGCGGCACTGACTGCCAGGGGGCAGCAGACTTCAGGTTCAGAGAAATGTTTTACAGCTCAGTTGTGGTAATGCTTTTATGACATACATTTGCCCAAACTTATTGACTTATTCCCTTTAAGTGGGTGAACTTTACTGTATGTAAATTTATCTCCATATATTTATTTGGGGAAAGATCCCTTTCCCCAAATAAAGGGATGCAGACAGTTCAGACATGGCGAGGCTGGGAGAGGGGGAGAGCCTGGAGGGAGGCGGGACGGTCTGTTCGGCAGCCACACTCACCTGTCACAGCGAAGGCCGAGAGGGGCCCCACGCGCCTGCCCTGGTGCAGCCCGTAGAGCAGCAGCTTGTACCTGCGGGCGGCGTCCAGGCCCCAGACCCGGGCCTCCCTGAGGCCGCCCTCCACAGGCAGCACCTGGGGCCGCCCCTCCCTGTCCTTGTACTGGACCACGAAGGAGTCAAACTGGCCCTCGGGGACGGTCCATGCGAGGCCCACGGAGTCCGGTGTCACGCTGGTCACCTGCAGCTCCTCCCCCAGACGGGGCTTTGGGGGGCGCTTTGTTCCAGCGCTCTGCGCCTCTGAGAGGGAGACACGGAGGAGCCGGCTGAGGCATCGGGAAGGCTGGAGGACCTCGAAGGGCAGGAGCGAGAGGCCCGGAGACTGGCTCTGCCAGGGCTGAGTCGCCAAGGGCTGGTGCCATGGGCTTAGGCCAGGAGAAGGCGGGACCGATCCCAGCCTCAGCGGCTGGGACCAGGTCACAGCGGGGAAGGCAGCAGCAGG